ACCACCATCAACGCCACCACCGCCAACCATCTCCACCCCCAACCCCCTTCTCTGCCCCCCCCAACCAGCACCAGCACCAGCACCAGCACCAGCACCAGCACCAGCACCAGCACCAGCACCAGCACTCGCCCCAGCGCCAGCACCAGCACCGCCACCCCCATCACAACCACTACTTGCCCCACAACCACCTCTGTAACTCACTGAGGGACTTCCATGCAACACAGTGAGTTCGATTGCGATTAGATGTTCCACGAGCGACTGGCTCGAACGTTGCTGACTGAATATTGCGAGGACAGGTACGAGAAGCCGACAAAGATCGGCTACACAGCTGATCTCATTCTCCGTGTTGCTTGTTGATGTGCCGAGGCTTCGGCCGCGCGATGTAGCTGCGGATGTTCTCGGACCATACCTTTGGATACCAGCAGCACAACAGCCGTTAACTCTGGCAGTTAAGACTTCATGCGTAGGCTTCTATCCCTGACTGCCCGCACCTATGCCTGACTCAATGGCCAGACAAGTCAGACAAGACTACTTCTAGAAAATCTGTCGAGAATCTAGCGCACACCCCCATGAATCTCGAAGTCAAGTGAACCCGGATACCACCTCCCTACAGTCGCACAAACCCCAACTTCTGAATTACCTGCCAAAGTCGTGAAGAGCTTTTCGCATAGAGAGCTAAAGACAAGGGATTGTGCTGCAAAGAGCTCAAGAAACCAAATTCCCAGATCCTTGCCGTAAAACTTATGAGAACCCAGGAAACACATTCAGAGGTAAGAACAACTAGTAAGAGTATCCCCGATGCACGTATACTACATTAATGTACTAGAAACCTTATTGGAATTGTTAAGGACCCTATAAGACCCTCATTAAACAACCTGTAAATCCTATAAGTGCAACCCTACAAAAATTGTAGACACCACCCAAGTATAGCAGTCAGCTTCTTCGAGACCGAAGTGCCAGGGAGATGAAGGTGACGGTACGTGCCTCTGCTTCTGATTCGCGAAGCTTCGTTTAGGGCTTACAACTTGTGCAGTTCAGGGTTCAAGGGTTTAGGGGTTTAGGGGTTTAGGGGTTTTAGGGTTTAGGGTTTAGGGCTTAGGGTTTAGGGTTTAGAGCAAGGGCCAGGGGTTTTGGTGCTTCAAGATTTATAGGGTTTAGGGGTTAAGTCTTGAGGGCAAGGAATTAGCAGGCTGCCGTCTTTTGTGTTGTTTAATTGTGGTTAAGGGCCGACTTCCGGGCTCACAGTGCTCGTTCCATCCCTGAACCATCAAAACCCGATGAAACCCCGAAACTGTCGGAATTTGCATCACCGCTTCTCCGGGCCTTTGACTTGAACCTCTCCCCTTTTGATTTTAGGGTTTAGGGTTTAGGGTTTAGGGGGTCTAGGGTTTAGGGTTTTCTGACAGGCTTCAGATTAAAGCGCCACTTTGAAAGCTATCGCGGCGGTGCCTGGGAAAGCTTGAACGTGGCATCGGGTCCCAATGCCATGATGTCTGCCTGCGGCTCCGAAAGGCTTTTTGGGTCCTAGGGCTTCTAAAGGCAACTGTCAGCCCTAGAGGGAATGGGTTTAGGGTTTAGGGTTTAGGGTTTAGAGTTTAGGGTTTAGCATAAAGATCCTTTCAGGGTTCGCGGGGTTCAGGGAACATGGTTTACGGGTTTGACAGCAGGACGGCACAATTCTACAACAACAAACTTCATCGACCCTGATATACTACCTTAATTGGTAGGATCCTTATTATAAGGACCCCGAAATGAGATACCCATTATTTTCGGAAATTCCCATATCCTTCACTGCCGGACTAAGACAAAGGCAACCGACCAGGAGCTGAGCCTGGTCTTCTCGGCTCTTTGCCGCCTTTAGCAAAATACCCTAAACCCTAAACCCTACAACTACTTGTAAGCACGGCTATGACCAGAATCACCCTTGCCCACGGTACAGATTGTTAACTGATGTGTTTCTGCTAATGCTGCTACTGCTGCTGCTACTCTTGCTGCTGCTCCTTGTCACTATGTCATTATGTTCCGGCTTCTGCTACCGCTCCTGTCTCGACGACTGCTACCAAGACAAACGAAAAGATGAGAACAACAGCAGAAGATGAAGGCGAGGAATGGCAATAGCAACATCAATAGAGCGACGACAACGGCGTCGACAACCACCACTACTTCTGCTCTTGCCAGTGTAGGCAAGCATAAATACCAGTTCACACATTGCTACTCAGCTGTAGACGAGGAGTCTTCAGAGGAGTCTTCAGTTGGAAATCTATCGCAACAGCTGCAACAATCCTGACGACTGATTACTTGGAGGACCATGGGTAGTTATAAGTAAGGGTATAAGTAGGGCAACTATAGTTCTAACCTATATTAGGGGCCTTATAACTCCACTTATAACTACCCATGAACCTCCAAGCAATGTCTGTGGCCAGCCGTTTGGAGGCAAGTTCATGAAGCAAGCTGAGACTTTTAGGCTGGAGTAGCGGTGGTGTAGGTGTTGCTCCATGCAGTGGTAGTGTTGATGGACAAAATCCTGCATTACCCATTATAAGGAATATACCATAATTCCCATAGTTTAAGGTCCTTAAGGTCATGCAGGATTTTGTCCATCAACAGTAGTGACGGTAGGGGTAGAACTTGCAGCAATAGTGGTAGCACTCGTCGCAGTTAGCGGCCTGCCGTCGTTGCCGTCTTGGCGCCGTGGTGAGTGCAATACATAGTACGTAGCTGTAGATCAAGGATGGTAACAATCTTTACGGGTAGCCACCACCCTGCGTATGTCTGCCGGATGTCCACGACTAGGTCTCACCACTCATGTAAAATCACCTCCGCTGCTACTTGGGCTACAAGCTGTGCCTCTGGCGACCCTTGCTGCTCTCGACATCGCAAAAGTGGTTTCCGTCCCCGACAGCTATCTTCAGCGGCACTCCTGCAGAATCTGCCCCTCACAGTAGATGATCAGCGAGATGATGTAGACCGCGATCTCAGACCACAGCGTCTGCACTTGGTGCTTTTTATCTGCATATGGTGGGATACAGGACTGCGACCACAAGCAATGCCGACAGTTACACCATGTTTCCTCCACGGTCATGAACTGGCTGTTGCTAGGCCTTTTTGCGACTGTCTCATGACCAGCGGCAGAGACCTGGCATGGTCTGTGTCTCGTGTTTCGGGTTGCTACCTAGAGACTCCAATATCCCTTAATTAAGGAATATACCTTAAATCATATTAGGATCCTACTATAATTTAAGGTATATTCCTGAATTAAGGGATATTGGAGTCTCTAGGTATGTGCTCTGTATGCTCAGCGCCCAGCGATGACGATCGAGAGCACAGCTCCGTTCAACACCATGGCAAACCACATCCAACCAAGGACCTGGGACTCTTTAGGGAAGTTTAGAGTTGTGGGACGCGAGGGCGAGGGGTTCAGGGTTGCTTTGAAATTGCCGGTTTGGAGTCTCCGGTACCAGAACCTCCCGGTGGTAATTCGATAGTTAGCCCATCGAGGGGATGCAAGGAGATGCAAGGAAGCGCCAGGAAGCTCACAGATTTTCACGGGGAAGGAGGTACTTCGAGGGCCAGGGGACTCAGGGCTATGAGTAGGGGCAACCATAATGGCCGCAGTTACGTTTTACCCCAAGTAACGTATTTATAAGCTTGCCAAGTCAACAGGAGTTTCAAGAGCCCAAAGCACCTATTCATTATCAGGTACTTGGCTTTACCCCAACCCCCCAGGTACCTACTATATAGGGTACTAGAGCCCGTAGGGCCCTTTATAGTATGTACCCGGGGGGTTAGGGTTAGGATATGAGTAGCTGCAGCTTAGTTTCTTGAGGACTACCCTAAACCCAAAAACCCTATCCGCCCCGAACTAAGGCACCGGCAATGGGCTCAGTTTTCGGCCGAGGGCGCCTGAGCAATATGTACCACGAGGTGTGTGTTTCGGATTTTGGGTTTAGGGTTTATAAACCCTAAACCCCAAACCCTAAACCCTCAACCCCAAACCCAAAACCGTTAGGGTTGGGGATTTGGGCGCGCGGAGTCTGAAACATTGCCAAGCTTCGACGAAAACCACTCCGCTAATGTAGGGGCCTGAATAATTAGAATGGGGTTTTGGGGCCCATTATACTATAACTATAAGAAGGAGCCCCCAAAAGAGTATAGGTAATTATTGAGGCCCCTATATTATACGAATATGAACAGAAGAACTGTTGCTGTGAGTACTACTATATCTATTCGCAGCCAAGCGACTGGTTCAGGATGCCTTCAGGCATGCCACGCGGTGGGTGCAGGGCTTACCATTTTCTTTCCTTCCTTTTGGCTTCATTGCTTGTTGTTAAAATTTGGGGAACTTAGCAATCGGAGTTGAAGAGTCCGCGGAGCTGCATGATCTTATCTTAGGCAGGGTCCTCAACCTCAAACCCCAAAGCGGGACATCCCCTCAATCTCTCTAACTCAAACCATATGTGCTTGCTTTTCTTGGACACAAAGCGATGGTGCTTCCAGACGCAGGTATAACCAAACCACACACAAACACACATGGCACCAAAGACCCAATGATATGATATGTTATCATATTACCCTTCATGTTGCTACTGTGCCATGCCCTAACACATGTTATATTACATGCTGTGTTTTATGCTGTTTTCGATGTTATATTCTATGTTACATTCTCGATAAGAGTAGTTCTCTGAGTTAGGATCCCTTTTAGGGTCCTTTTTATAAGGGTGCCGTACCATGTTGGGGACCTGCAAAGGGACCCTAATTTACTAAACCCTAAACCCTAAACCCTAAACCCTGAACCCTAAACCCCTAAACCCTAAACCCCTAAACCCTAAACCCTAAACCCTAAACCCCTAAACCCTAAACCCTAAGCCCTAAGCTACCCCCCTAAACTGCCGCTTGCCTGGCTCCCCAGGCTCCATACCCAAGGCGATGGAAGGTGGAAGGTCGGTGACGAGGATCAGGAACAGGATCTGAAGAGGTGTCCTGAAAGGTGGAGGTCTAAGGTTTATAAGGTTTCGGGTGCAGGGGTTTAAGGGGGTGTGGGGTTTAGGGGTTTAGGGTTTAGGGGTGTAAGGTTTAAGGGTTTTCGGTTTAGGAATTTAGGGGTTTAGGGTGTGGCGTTCATAGGGTCATTCTAACGGATGTATATGGAGAGAGCTTTCGGGTCGAGGGGTTGAGGGATTTACGTTTTAGGCAGGGTTTAGGGGTGGGGCTTTGGATGCAGAATAGTTTTATGATGAGGGCTTGATTTGAAGAGGTGTCCTGTGGGGGTGCTCAGACTGGAGTGATGATGGTGAGGGATGGTCTTTGCAGGCCCCTAGGCAGACGTTTTACGTTCAAGCTATTGTAATGTCAGGGTTGCTAGAAGCATATTTTAGGTTGAGGATGCAGACGTTCAAGATGTGTCCTTGGAAAGAGAGGAGGCGTGAGGATTAAGTAAGTGCGGCCTTGCATATTCCAGCACTTCAAGGTTCAGGGTCTGTGGGATCAGGAGCTTAGCACGTTTCTCCCTGGGCGGGTGTTTTTGTATCAGGGTTACAGTCCTGTGCCTGAAGGAGTTTAAGTTGGGTTGGGGCAGCCCTAAACTCTAAACCCCCACACCATTGAATCCCTCCCCAGACCCTAAACCACCTCGACTCCGAAATCCCCCAAAACCCTGAACCCTAAGCCCCAAGCAAACCCTAAACCCTAAAGACCCTGAGCCCCAAGTAAACCCAAAGCCCCATGCCCAGAACTCTGCTGAGCCATCCAGGCCCCAAACCCCAAACCTGAAACCCCAGCCCTGCAGAGGCCTTGCCAGGGTTTGTGGCTGTTAGAAGACTTGCAAAGCTCGTGCTGGGTAGAGGACATGCTAGAAACCTCAAACCACAGCTCCTGAAGACACACAACATCCGAAATGGCGCGCGAGTGTCCTGAAATTTTCATTCATGCCGCACTCCCGTAGGACAAACTGACGGGGTCCTCATCACTGGGATGCCGGCGACGATGCAGGCAAAAATCTGCATGACCTGTTAATCGTTTGAATAAAAGTTTTTGATGTACATTATATAATAATTATAGTAGGGCTGGTGCAGTATACAATAAGTAAATAGGCATAGTAAGGATCTATAAGTTTTTGGGGGTGCATTAACCAATAATTATAGTAAGGATCCCTAAAAATCCGAGCCGGTGACTGCAAGAAGCCCCCAAAAAAACTTAAGCCCTAAAGCTCAAACCCTAGAGCCTGAACCCTAAACCCTAAATCCTAAAACCTAAACCCTGAACCGTAAACCCTACACCCCTAAACCCTAAACCCTGAACCCTAAACCATCCAGACCAGCTCCCTGAGATCATGTCGATTCCCGGCCTCTGCGATGTGCACAGACATGATGAAGGCCACCTTGTTGAAAATACCAAGGCTTGTTCAGGGTTTAGGGTTTAGGGGTTTAGGGTTTAGGGGTTTAGGGTTTAGGGTTAATGAAGCAGAAGTGGTACGAATGGCTGTTGATGTTAGCAAGGACGTAGAGAATTTGAAACCAAATGCGTGGTTTGGTGATGGAGGTTTCCGATTGGAGGCTTGGGGCTTGGGTTTGGCATTTAAGCTTTTGAGGCTTGGGCCTCAAGGTCTGCTAGTAAACCCTTAGGCAACTCCTAGAAATGCTGTATCAAGAAGTTACAAGCCCTTATATGATCCCTTATAACCCCCTTTCACAACTGGGCTGCGAATACCCATCATTGCCACGCCACAAATTTTTGGATGCCAGAGTAAATCGCGCGGCCTTTCTCCACAGCCGAGACGATCGAGCCTCGAGCAGAGACTGTTGCCTTTTCCGACCGTTAGGTTCTGGAGGGTGCCTTATGTGGTTACTACTTCGGGGTACCACAATGGTTGCAATGAGCGGTACTACACTGCTTACTGTATGTGTTGCTGTACGCATCTGGTTGAAGGCACGAGGCTGGGGAGTTCGGGCTTAAGATCTGGTTTCGACCACGCGAAGAGAGCAGCGCTGAGGTCGAACAGCAAAACAGCTCATGCGGCCATGCTGAATGCAGCAAGATGCAAAAGTTGTCGTCGGTCAGAACCATATCCTCAGATGAGAAACGACATGGAGCTTGAGAAGAAAAGACCATGCCAGAAAAGAGATCTGCGTTGTCAAAGGAACCCTAGTCTTAATATTGAGGAAACCCTGAAGGAGCTATGAAGCTGTAGGCCTGCAGGCATGAGGGGCTGGCACGTTCGTTCTACTGGCACTTGCTCCAAGCACCCAGACATGGATGCCTCTTTAGCAACCGGGAAAACGGGCTAACCAACACTGGTCAGATAAACGTACAACCCCCTAAACCCTAAGCTACTCCTGTCTCGGATTTCGGATGGCAGGGATTGGTCCGTCTGCTCTGCAGGAAGTAGGGGTTTGCTTCGGAGTTCCCGAGCGTCGAGAAATACAGGGGGGCCTTCAGTTTTGCCAACTAGCTTCGCAAGTCTCAGGCTCTTCTCTAGCAAAGAAGATACGAGGGTACGGCAACCGAGCACCATCGTCGCACTCAGGATCTTTAGACAGCCGCCTCTTGTAGATTCTAACAAAAACGCACCACACCAATGACACGTGAAGCAGTCCTTACGCTTCTCCGTGTCGAAGATGCGAAAGTGCTGTCCAAGCCCCAGACCGGTAGCTTGGCTCCTCATCTTCCTATGATAGCAACGAAAAGCGATTCGATTTCAGCGGTATGCATCCAACGGCTTCATGCTGGAGGGACAGGCTGTCCTCGTGAAGAGAAGAACACCCTTCGCTTCTTCGTGTCTTGCTGCCCGCCGAAGGCATCTACAGGCTCTCCCAACAGCCTCCGAACAGCCACCGGAAGACTGCCTTTCTGGAGCATCGCTTGAACTTGCTCGTTTGTGGCGCCGAAGTATGCACATGCTCTCCCCAGCGTCTCCAGCCCTTTGAGCGATGCGGCCTCTGCGATGGCTACGAAGCTGCTGGCATCGATCATATCACGTAGCGCCGTACACAACGTCTGCACAACGCCATGGACTTGCCAGCGGTGGGCCAAGTCCAAAGCCACAAGCATGGTCTCATGGTCCGGGTCTTCGCGAGTGGAGCTTGTGTACAAAAGATCTAAGAAGAGCGACACACCCGATGACGAGGAATCCTCGACTTGAATGCGCCAGCTCGAGCCCTCCTTCATTTCAGACGTGAGCATGGCCTTCAAGACTGGTGAAGCTAACATCAGGATCTGGTCGTGTGCTGACACATCTCCGTCAGAACACTCGAAGATCACGTTGTGCGAGGTGGTCATGTCACGCATGGACTCCCACAAGTCCAAGGTACCCTGGGGCACGGTGACATCTGCACCGTAGGAAGTGCTGCGGCGGTGAAGCGCGAAAGAAGAGCAAGGACGCTTTTCAGATAGGCGTCCTCGTATGACCAGTCCGCACCACCCCTGCGCATCTTCATTTGCCGAGGGTATTCAAGAGCAAGCGAAACAGCGGAATGCCCAGCATATGCAACCGTGAAAATTGTTGCTTCCTTCTGATTTCTTCTGAAAAGCTTCCCAGTAAAGTCATGATCGAGCGGAAGCCTCTGTCCCGGATTAGCTCCAGCCTTCAAGAGCCAGTCCAGAACCCTGAGGCTTTGACTCTGTTCAGCTTCTGGCTCAACAAGGTTGTGACGAATCGTGAACATGAGTGCAGGTAGTCGATGTTCGCCCAAAGACTGCGTCCAGTCAAACTTGGGAGGTGTGAAAGCCTGCAATCCTTCCAAATCCCCCAGCATGATGCACAAACTGACCACATCGGCATCATTCGTCGCTGACATGGACTCGTTGCCAGCAAGCTCCACCACCACGGCACCCTGGCTCCTACCGTCGGCTCCCCTGACTTGAACCGGCAAAGTTCCATGGCCGCGAAAATTTGTTGGAGCTGTCTCGGCATCAATGCACGCCGGACTAAGCATAATTTCTCCTTCGCCTCAGGCCCTACTGTAGAGGGTGGTTTGTGAGTTTGGTACTGTCAAGCTAAGGGGTTAGAATTCAGCCACGAAGCAGATGCGCCTTTTGCCACCTCCGTTCCCTGGATGCCCATGGCAACGCCGATATTCGCCTGCTTTGGCATTCTCACTTCCAGATTTGCAGGACTTACCCATAGGCCCCATAGTAGTTCCTTTTTGGGGTTACCCTATAGGGTTCTATATATGAACCCCAAAAAGGAACTACTTTAGGGCCTATGGGTCAGAACACTCAAGGCAGCACTTCTCTGATCGGGCAAAGCAGTTGGCAGCTTCTGGCCAAGACCAAGACATGAAGCGAATCACATCAGAACACTTGCAGATCTGCCTGAACCCCAAACTCTGAATTCTCGAAATATGCTACTGCTCCTGCGACGACGACGATGACGACGACGACGAGGACGACGACGAGGACGACGACGACGACGACGACGACGACGACGACGACGACGACTACTACTACTACTACTACTAGTCCGTTACATAACATTGCTTTCGGCCGCTGGCATGCAACATGCAGGAATGCATTCGTACGCTTCTGTCCGTGTGGACACCTACTGGCACGCTCCAAAGGAGGTTTAATGATACAGAACTACATACCAGCAAACCCTCCACCGACCCATATAAAGATGCCTTCACAATTAGAATCGGGGTATGGGTCTATGATACCATACTAATCCTACAGTACACCAGGGCCGGATGCCTGGTTTAAAGCCGGCGCATCGTTGACCCCATCGCCAGTCATGGCCGCCACTTGACCCATGCGCTGGATAGACTTTACAATTTCCTCGGATGTGTCGCGCTGGGCTGCTGGCTTCAAACATAGTGAACAGTAGCAACAAAAACTCTCCATAGCGGAACCGGACAACAGAAGCAACAGGAGAGCCAAGTTGATATCAACGTGGGGGTAGTTCTCTCAATTAGGGTCCCTTTGTTGGGTCCCCGATGTAGTACGGCACCCTTATGAAACGGACTCCAAGAGGGACCCTAATTTAGAAAACTACCCATGGAGCCTGCCCTTCTGGTGGCTTGTTCTGGTTTAGGGTTTAGGGTTTAGGGTTTTTTGTTGAGTCGAAGGGATAAAACCTGTCGTCCCTGGGAGCTGCTCCCATGGCCGCCATGGATTTTGGGGTCAAGAGCTCTACTTGGAGGTTCATGGGTAGTTATAAGTAACCCTTAGTGGGTTCCTTTTTAAGGGTTCCTTAAGGAGCTTAGGGTTTAGGGTCTACTTAGAGGTTCATGAGTAGTTATAAGAAGGGTTATAAGTAGGGTAACTATAGTTGTAACCTATATTAGGGGACTTATTATAACTCCACTTATCACTACCCATGAACCTCCAAGTAGACCCTAAACCCTAAACCCCATAAGGAACCCTTAAAAAGGAACCCACTAAGGGTTACTTATAACTACCCATGAACCTCCAAGTAGACGAAGTGCCAGATGTCGGCTCATTCCGTAAGCATGACAATTACAGCCTGTGCGGTTTAGGGTTTAGGGTTTAGGGCTTGGGGTTTAGGGTTTAGGGTTTAGGGTTTAGGGTTTAGGGTTTAGGAACAGTAGAGCAGTTGCTGGTTCAGGTGCCGGCATGAGCGTGAGGTCGAAAGAAGAACGATCCATAACTCGCAGAGAAGACTGAACCCAAGGCACCCTTAAGATCAACACTTCCTCTTGACCCAGCATCCTGAAACCCTGAAACCCTGAACCCTAAACCTCAACCCCTAAACCCCTGAAGCCCTAAACCCCTGCACCCTAAACCCTAAATGTCGTCCAGCATCCAGCTTGTCTTCGGGCTTTGCACGGGCGAAGACTCGCACCTGCAGCGAGGGTCGCGGGCAGGGGTTGGGAGGATCCTGTAAGAGATCCTTTAAGGGTTCCCTTTAAGGGTTCCCTCTAAGGGTTCCCTTTAAGGGTTCCCTCTAAGGGTTCCCTTTAATGGTTTCCTTTAAGGGTTGGCTTTAAAGGGTTCCCACACCGGTCCTGTATGGAGCTTTTGGAGTTTTAGGCATCTAAGTTTAGGGTCTGGGGCTAAGAATGTAGGTTTATAGTTTGCACTGTTAATTTTCAGGCTGAAGGTTCAAGGTGATTTAGACAAGGCTCCAGAAGTACCCAAATTATACGGTTCACGGAAACCTTTCCGAGCATAGCATTTGGGAGCTAACGCTCTTGGGCCCTCTAAACCGTCAACCCACGTGGAACCCTTACGAAGGGCTGCAGTTTACAGAACCCTGAATCACATCCCTGCTATTTGTACTAAAGCCTAAAACCCTCTACATCTGGGCACCTAATATTACGGACCCAAAAAGGGACCATAATTTTGACAACCACCCATCTGAATCTCTGCAACAGCCAAGGCACTGTGGACGTGAGGCGATCCATTTCCTTGCCCTCGAGGTAGTGGCCTTTCGCAGGGCTTGGAACCCTAAACCCTTATAAACCCTACTTGGAGGTTCATGAGTAGTTAAAGTCCCCTAAAATAGGCTATAACTATAGTTACCCTATTTATAAGCCCACTTCTAACTACCCATGAATCTCCAAGTAAACCCATAAACCCTAAACCCCTAAACCCTTGGCCCCTCTAAACCCCTAAACCCCTAAACCCCTAAACTCCTAAACCCCTAAACCCCGAAACCAGGCTTCGTTTGAGCTTTCGGCTCTTCTCCATGAGCAGATCGAATCAGAGGTTCTAGGCCTTTCGGATTTCGGGGTTCAGCGGTTGAAGCAGTTGTAAAGGGCTTGCTCAAGGACTGTCGGGCGTGCAGCGACAAAAAGATTACGAACGATGCAAAAAAGGTGAGACGATTTGGGGAAACATCGGTTCTGAGAGTGAACCCCAGGGCCTAAAGCGCAAACCCTCTCCCTGCACGCCGTAGCATATGCATAACCACACCGAGCACAGAAGCCCAAAACTCCAAGTCCCAAACACCAACCCCGTAGTCCTGGAATCCGAAACCCCAACTTCGAAGTCCTAAAAAGTGACAGCAAGACCCCACAAGTAAAAGCCAGAACACCTTAAGCTAACACCCTGGGAGGTTCCCCACTCAGGGATTAGGTGACTTAGTAGGCAGGGCTCTAAGTAAGGCAGCTATGATTATTATAACTATATATACTCAACTATAACCCAACTACGTAGGGCACCAAACCCTAAACCCTAAACCATGATTATTATAACTATACTCAGTCACAAACTATACCCGAAAGCCTAAACCTCACTCCTCACTTACTAAGTCCCCTTTCCTCGGGGAGGCCCTGGTTTCTACGACCCATTCACACCTCCGGGGCGCAGGGTGTTGCAGTCCACTGCTGCAGTCGCCTGCGGCTCTCAGAAAGCCCTCATGGAAATCAATTGACTTCTGCACAATCCCCTATAGCCCCCCTCATGAGATCTGAGACACCCTGGCTCATCCCGGCAGAGGGTTTCGTGATCAGTCGTTTGGGTCTTAGCGGCTTCGATTATAGTAGAATCGCAACACTACCAACGACAATTGTTTTGAAACCATAGGGGGTTGAGGCTTCAGTATATCATTTCAAATGACAACTACATAAGACTGTAGAGTTTAGACCGTATTTACGTGTCAGCATGAGTGCGCGGCCAACTTGACAGCTCAGAAATGGCACTATGCACTGCTTGGAACATGAGCAGCAGCCCAGCCTAGCTGTTACAGCCTCACAGGTAAAAACCAAAGCAATGACAGGGACAGGGGCATCATAAACCCTAAACCCTAAACCCTAAGCGCGGATGATTGCTCAGCAGAGCCACTGGCTTCTCCGAACCGTCAGGCCTACACCCTCAACCCCTGAGCCAGAACGCTAAACCTTAGCCTTAGACGCCACAGACTTACAGAAAAAGCCTCGTCATCCTGTGGCTGGAGGATGCTTACGTTCTTGGCGATGGCGATGGCGGTCCTTGGGCGGTCGAAGACTGCGTGTTTGGGGTTTTTAGGGCGCGGGAGTTCAGTATTACGGGTTTCGGGGGTTTAAGGCTATTGTTAGTGTTCTGCATTTACGGAGAGTTCAAGGTGTTGGGTTCAGTATGAGCAGTCTAGTACCTCTAGTAATGGTACTAGTAGCAGGTGGTGGTGGTGGTGGTGGTGGTGGTGGTGGTGGTGGTGGTGGTGGTGGTGGTGGTGGTGGTGTAGGCAGCCAGGAAAACCTGTTGCCGCCCGCACTCTTCCCGCCCCCCATCTCAGGGCAGCTCCGAAAACGTCACGGCCACCCTCCGCGAAGGGTTGAAGAGGGGGTAATAATGCGGCCAAGGTGCCAGGTGAACATGGGAGAGCTGGGGGCAGGAAGAAGTGGAGGAAGCATGGCAGAGAGGGGAGGGAGGGAAGAGAGGGGAGGGAGGAAAGAGGGGAGAGAAGGGAGAGGGACAACAGAGAGGGAGAGGAGAGAGAAGAAAGAGGGGAGAAAGAGGGGGCAGAGTGCAAGGGGACAGCGGAGAGAGAGGGGAGAGAGAGAGAGCGAGAGAAAGAGAAGAGAGAGGAGAAAGGGGGCAGAGAGAGAGAGAGAGGAGAGAGAAGAAACAAGGAAAAGGGAGCGAGGGGAGGAGAGAGGGGAGAGAAAGGAGGGAGGGGAGACAGGGTAGAGTGGGAGGAGAGGGAGAGGAGGGAGGATGGGAGAGAGGGGATAAGGGCAGCCACAACAGGGGTGGAGAGACGGGGAGCAGCGGGAAGGCAGACAGCACGGAGCAAAGCTGAAGCGCAGCATGACAGGCCACTCGGGCACAGAGGCGCGGACCGGAGAGAAGAGGAAGCAAATGGAATACAAAGGCATGCACGAGACGCGCCAATAGCGCACAGAGATGCGGTACGACTGTAAGCGGTGAAGGAAACGAGGACAAAGGATGAACGCAGCAGGACTTGCCAAACCGCAAACAGGCAACGCCGAGGACAAAGCAGGCAGCAGGACTAGCCAAAAGCGCATAAAGACACCCCGATGGAGAAGATGATAAGTACATCCAACGACCATGCCGAGGACAAAGGATGAACGCATCACGACAGGCCCGTAGCGCACAGATGCGCGGCCTGAACAAGCAGCGAGAGATAAGATAAGATTAACGGCCAAAAGTGCAAAAAGCCAAGCTGAGGACATGGGAGGAACGCAGCTGGCCAATAGGGCATAAAGGCGCGGCCCGAAGCAGAAGAGTTACACGAGTAAGGCCGTGTCGAGGACAGAGCAAAAGGGGAGCACGACAGGCCAATCGCGCACACAGAGGACGAAGGAGCGAGAGAAAGGAGAAACGGCCAAAGGCCATCCCGAGAAAACAGCAGCAACACACCACGACGGGCCGATAGCGCAGGAGGGCGCGGCTCGAAGATGGAGAGACTGCGAAAAGTCATGCCGAGGACCGAGCAGAAAGAGTAGCGTGCAGAGGCACGGCCAGAGTGTACGTAGCGAGAGAAACAGCAAAGTGGCCACGCCCAGGACCAAGGAGGCACGCGCCAACACTTTCCAAAAGCACGGCAAGGCGTGGCTCGATGCCGGATCGAGCATATACTATAGGAGGAAGGCAGCAGTAGAGAGGTACGGCCAACGGCCATGCCGAGGACAAAGGAGGAACACAGCACAACGGGCAAATGGAGGCGCTCCCGAACAAGAGGCGAGAGATAACAGTAACGTGCAGAAGCCAAGCTGAGGACAAGGCAGGGACGCAACAGAACTGGCCAATAGCGCCTAAAGAAGCGGCCCGAAGAAGGAGGGACGCAGCAGAACTGGCCAATAGCGCATAAAGCCGCGGCCCGAAGAAGGAGAAGAGTGATATGGCCGAGGGTCACGCCGATGGCAAAGCAAAAAGGAAGCACGACGGGCCAATGGCGCACAGAGGCGCGGCCCGAACAAGCAGGGAGAGATAAAACAGTAACGGGCAGAAGCCAAGCTGAGGACAACGGAGGGAAGAAGAGTGATATGGCCGAGGGCCACGCCGAGGGCAAAGCAAAAGGGGAGCACGAAAGGCCAATCTCGCACAGAGGCACGGCCCGAAGAAGGAGCGAGAAAAAGGAGAAACGGCCAAAGGCCATGTCGAGAACACAGCACAAACACACCAGGACGATCGTACAACCAGAGCAGGAGAGCAGCTACGAGGGCCCAACAGGTCGGGAGGAAACCAGCATGCCAGGAGACGAAGGAGAACAGGGGATCAGGCATCAAAGATCCCAACAAAAGAGGGACCAGACACAACAACTGCCCCAGACAACATGAGCATGAGAGGAAGAGGAGAGAGATGAAGAGAAGAGGTGCGACCAAGTTGGAAGGGGAGGCGAAGGCAGAGAGACGAGTGAAGAGAGAAAAGGAGGGGCAGGCACTGTCACCCCACGGAGAGGCGCGAGGTGGCAGGCAGGTGGGTGCTCCTCGACGGGGATAGACCCGTCTTAGTGCCGCCCCTGGGGTCCCACCAACCTGATGGCCACCAGCACCCGCATACTCCTTTGGGCCCAGGGGACTAGTAGCATGTCCAACCCTTACCGAACTCTTATAGAACCCGTAGATAAATAAACCCTTTCAGAAGGCTTATCACCTTACTTACAAGTCACCTGATCCTCCAACTACTTCATTACGGTAGGGGCCTAAATCATTACAACACAGGTTCCGGGTATCATTTACACACCAAAAACCGCACAGACTCAACCGTAGATCTGATCCAAATCCACGGAAAGCCTACCCATAGGCCCCATAGTAGTTCCTTTTGGAGATTACCTTATAGGATTCTAAATATGAACCCCCAAAAAGGAACTACTATGGGGCCTACGGGTAGACCTTGAAACGCTGCAACTCATGTGTAAGCACCAGGATCTTCAGGTAGTCTCCGGTGATCATGACCTCGGAGCGTCTCTTGCGGCTTGGCTGCTCAAGGGTTCAGGGATTGGGACCCCTAAACCCCCAAACCCTAAACCCTAAACCGTTGAGAATGTGAAATTCCTGCAATGCCGAGGTCAAGAAAAAGGCTAAGATTGAGGTTTTGGACTGTGTATACTCTTCCTCCGTGGCTTGGTCTTGCCTTTGGCTCTAGAGACTGCCAGATCTTACCTATCAGGCTCCTGTAGGGACCTTGCTGACTAGAACTGAAAATTTTGGGCGGAGGAGTCTATTCGATTACAGTAGGTTTCATGGACCCCAAGGCATAAACTTAGCGTGAGTTTTCAGACCTCTATAGAACCCTTCATAGACCCTAAACCCAAAACCCTCAACCCTGAAAGGCCTAGAGAGCTCCTTAAACTGGGGCTTCTTCGGGTTTCGGCTCCATTGTCGGCTCTATGGAACTTCGGACCCCGAACCCGGAAGCCCAGAAAAGGAGAGTTTAGGGTTTAGGGTTTGGGTTTAAGGTTCAGGATTTAGGGTTTAGGGTTTAAGATTTACGGTTCAGCTCTCTCTAAGGAAGATAAATGTTGCTTGGGCGGTTCCTGGTAGTGGACCCCCTCTCCAGCAGGAAACCCTGAACCTCTAAACCCTTGAACACTAGCTTAACCCTAAAGCCTAAAGGGCTCAAAGGTTCTATAGTACGACCCTTATACAGCCCTTGTCAGACATATAAACCCTACATCCCCAAAAGACAGGCGAGTTGCAACGCGGATGCCAGCTCCTCGTGCGGCAAGAACGGAGTCCTTCAAGGAAGTTGGTTGCAAGACAGGGCTCGGTAGGGTCTTCGAGTTTAGGCTCTCGGGTTAGGGACAACGTCACATCATCAATGAGTCCAGGAACTGCAAAATCGACTTCCATAACCTCGGTTTAGTCCGCAACACCCGGAAGTCTACCTAAACCCCTGAACCCTAAACTCCAGTCGTATCATATATCACATATTATACTGCATATTATACAGAACATATTTTATAGTATAGGTCATGTTTGTTTGAAGTGTTTCCGAGCCTTCACGCCGTCGCGGTCCGGATCGATGGAGGCGACCAACCCAACCAGCCGCAAGTTCTGCAAGGAGAAGGGTGCAATGATGGGCTTCTATGCGGTGTTATCAAGCTTCTACAAGGTTTCATAGTGCTTGTACGAATTCGTCGAGGCTTTATCCGGGTTCCTAGGGCCTAGAGGTTTTAAAGGGTTTAATTTGGTTGGTGTGAGAGCCTCCGTGCTCCGAGGGTGTCAATATCTCGAAGAGGCCTTGGGTCGTATAGCAATAGGCAGCAGGCTTTACCGGGAGAACTAGCGAGATGCGTTTTTCATGATCCAGGCTTATACAAATATATATATATATAGAGAGAGAGAGAGAGAGAGAGAGAGATGATTCGAGATGCTTTACGATTGGGGCTCAGGCTTTAAGCTTGGGGGTTTTAAGGGGTTGGCGAGGTTTGGCGCTTACGGCTCATGGAGTTCCTCAGGGTTGCCGGCACTACAGGCTTTCATAGGCAGAAGTTGAGCCATGCTGGAGGCATTCTAGGACTCCTTTTCGGGTTGACGTAGTAGGCCATCCCGACAGGAAGTAGTAATTTGAAGACGGCAGGGCACGATAACAAAGGACCAGGACCCTTTAAAGAAACGACTGCTTTTGAGGGGCTGGGGCTAGAGGAAGCTTTCGGCTTAGGCTTGCTCTTCGGGTGCCTTTGCGGGGAGCCACGGGTTTGGAGTGTCAGGTGCAGCATTTCCAGGTTCATGGCAAGCCGGCAATCACTTAGGGGCTGAGTACCCTAACCCAAAAAAGGTTAACCTTTTGAATTATAGTAGGATTACATAAGCCCCAAAAGGTTACAGGTTACCGACTCAGCCCCTAAGATCATGGTCCAAGCCAGTAGTTCCGTCAACCGAGATCCATATGTTGTAACTGTAAGGCAGCAGCACTTCACGCTGCAGAAGCTCCGGGGGTGTGGACACGTCTGCGCATGGAGGCTCTTGTACTTCGTGAGCTGGACAATCGAAGAAACATCTCATGTCTTGAATACCAATCTGGGTGGTTGTCAAAATTATGGTCCCTTTTTGGGTCCTTATTATAATACGGCACCTATTATTTAGGGTACCACAAAAGGGACCATAATTTGGACAACTACCCATCTGAAGTAGGCGAGATCAGACAAACTCAAAACTCAAAAGAACCTGAGGCTTCAGCACTGAACCCTCAGTAGATCATACTTGGCGACTCGGCCCAAATGTGCGACCCCAGACTTCCCAGGCTCGGTAGTACAACGTAGCGGCCTGAATGATGAGGATGCTATAGTGTATGTAAGTATATCGGGGCGATAATGGATTATTCCGACCCTCGAACCCCCACAAAGCCCTAAACTCTAAACCCTTAACCCAAAACCCTAAACCCCGAACCCTAAACTCCGAAACCCTAAGCCCTGAACTCTAAACCCCTAACCATTAGACCGATGAACCTGGCGGAGCTTCGCAAACCTCTCGTCTGTGGAGATCTCGTCATCGTTCTTGTCGAAGGGGAGCTCCTGAAACTTGTAGGGCTCTGAAGGCGTCTAGCGTGTAATGTAGGGGCCTTAATAACGAGAATACGGTTTGGGGGTATATTATGCGATAATTGTAGTAAGGAGCCCCCAAAATTGTATTGGTAGTTACATTGGCCACTACAGTATAGCGTGTAGGGCTTGGGGTTTAGGGTTTGGGGTTTGGGGGGTTTCGAGCTTCGGGTGTGAGTTTAGGGCTCAAGTCGGGTTTCGGGTTTAGTTTAGACTTAAGACTGTCTGACCTTTAGCAGCCAGGCATTAATAGAAGGGTAGCTTCCAGGGCTTTCGGTTTGGAGGACCTTGAGCCTTCTACCAACTGCTTGCACGAGCTGAGCCTTCTACCGCTTGGAGGTTCATAGCCGCAAGTCCTGAGCCCGCCTTTTGCAAACTCTAACCCCCAAACCCTAGATCTATAGACCCTAAATCCTAGATCTATAGACCCTAAACCCTAAATCCTAAACTCTAAACCCTAAATCCTATAGACCCTAAACCCTAAATTCTAGACTCGAAACCCTTAACCCTCTTCAACAGTCACCGTAATAACCTGGGGTGCCGGCTGTCATGGTGCGAACAGCGACTGCCAGCACGCGGAGCGCCTCAACAGAAGCCAACCCTAAGGCCCTAAGGACTCATATTCCAATTAAAGCTCTGAGGCCCAAAGACCATACTATATGTTATATACTGTAAAGCATATATATATATATATCATATAATTAATAAAAACTTATCCATTTGTATTTATGCTTTCTGACTTGTGGACTTGAACCTTAGGGTAAGCCCCAAGACGGCACTTGCGAACGTCAGGAACAGATCTTGCCCAACCCAACACCCTGAACCCTGAACCGCGATTGTCAGCTGATAATGAGGTGCGGGACCTTCACATGCAGTCAGCAGCAACTAGGGCTTCAAGGATTTTGATGCTGGCTGCTTTGATTTTGGCCATCAGGGACAACCCTAAACCCTAAACCCCAAAAACCTCTGAAAGCCTCCAGCCCTAAACCCGAGCGTAAAGGTGTTGAGGAAGCAAGGGTGGCCCACTCCAAACCCTTGGCCTTAGCCCCCAAACCCGTAAACACTAAGCCCTAACCCCTAAACCCTACACCCTAAACCCCCCCCTCAAACCACGCAAAAGCCCCCAAAACACCCCAAAACCCACCCCAAAACCCCGCAATCTAAAGGCCTACGGAAGCAAGGGGGCCTTACTGCTGTATTCATCAACGACCTTGAGGATGTCTTGCCTCGCCTGCCGGAGGGAAGGAACTCCATATGGGAGTTTAGTTTTTAGGGTTTGGGGTTTGGGGTTAGGGGTTTAGGGTTTAGGGTTTTGGGAGTTTAGGGTTTAGGGTTTAGGGGTTTTGGGCTTAGGGTTTGGGAGTTTAGGGTTTAGGAGTTTAGGGGTTAGGAGTTTAGGGTTTGGGGATTAGGGTTAAGGGTTTGGGCTACCTTATTTTGGGGTCCTTACAATAAGGATCCTACTAGTTAGGGTACTACATTAGGGTCCCCTATTTTCAGAAACCCGCATATCAGCGTGTCAGGCGTAACCAGTAACGTATTGAATTCATGCTCCCATTCCATTCCATTCCATTATGTTTTTTACTGATTGAACACGTTGTCCATGAAGAGACATCGCAAATCCAGAAGGTGTCTTCAGGTTACATCAGTCCACAGGTGTCTTGTCTTGACAGGTGATCGTAACATCCTGGAGATAGCCCAAAAGGTAAGGGAAAGACCCAAAACTAACCGATCAAAGTTGATTACAGGACCTGAAGTGCCAAAATAGCACGGCTTCATTTTGCATAACTGTTGTTGGTTTGGTTATGCTCGTGTCTTGTTCGCTTCTCTCTCATTCATTTGATCCATGCGTTCGCTCTCTCGCTCCATTCTTTCACCACGCGTTAATGAAATCAGAGCGAAGCGAACTCTTTTTCTCATTGCTTGAAACCTTAACCAGGTAAGTAACACCAAGCTACTTTCCTACATACAAAACAAGCCCAAATCGTTTTGCTGGTTGCTTCTGTTGCTTCTGCTACCGGTCCGGCAGCAGAAGTACTGCAAGCACTCAAGCCACCCGCAAACCTACAGAAACAACACATGGGGATCGTAGAGACAGCCACATGGACACTCCTGACAACTGCTTGCAGCCGGATGAGGAAACAGAGAGCATGATGCAAAACGATGCAAGGTCGGACCAATGAGTGAACGATAACAGCAAGTCTGGGGAAGCAGACCTCCTCGACCTCAACAGGCGTGAACTCTGAGTTGAATAAAGCTCTTTTTACGGGTTCCTGTAAAGGCTTCTACAAGGATTACTGCCGGGACGACTATAAGGGCTAGTGCAGGGGTTTACTCATAATTGGAACAGGGTTGGGCTACAAGAGAATACTGCTAGTAATCCGTCCGACCCTTGTATTGGGGATTGCAGTGAGGTTCAGAGTCACCGGGAATGTGAACGAAGGTGGATACGAGCATACAGTTGCAACAACTGTGAATATGTATCTGTTTATATACACAGAAGCCAATAGCTAAACGATGGGTCATACACAGAAGCAAAGGGGCTGTTGGAAAGACCACCTGGAGGACAAAGCCCTAAACCCAAATCCTAAAGCCGAAACCTCAAACCCTAAACCCTATAAAGCTTATAAGCCTTATTATAAATCCCAAACCCTTTAAACTACAAACCTTATAAATCCCAAACCCTTTAAACCCAAATCCCCAAAACTACCAGCGACTTTCCAGTCGCACTCGAAGCCTCGTCTGTCATCCTCAGCTTCAGGGCTGGATGAAGGAGGGGTGAGGATTCCGATGTATAAGGGTGCGGGGTTTACAGTTTAGGGTTTATCTATAAGGGTTTGGGGTTTAGGGTTTATCTGTAAGGGTTTTGGGGTTTAGGGTTTAGGGTTTATCTGCAAGGGTTTTGGGGTTTGGGGTTTAGGGTGCAGGGTAGTGCTTGCGGGCCCTAGGTTCTAGTCAAAGCCCTAAACCTAAACCTTGAATCGGTTTAGGGTCGGGGTCGGTAGTGGTTGTGCTGTAGCTGCAGCGATCTCAGTGAGCCTGACAGCTCCACAGTACCCCACACACCCGGAGCACGTGTGGGTAGTTTTCTAATTTAGGGCCCCTTTTTAGAGATCCCCAAAATAGTACTAAAGGACCCCTCAAAAAGGATCCGAATTTAGAGAACTACCCATGTGCAGGAGCGCTGTTCGTAGCTGAAATGCTTTGAGCAAGCCGCAGTAGTGCAGTCGTGAGCACCACGGAAGCGGCATTAGCAGCGGAAGTAGTCGCAGCAGCCCGCCCAAGCAGTTCGTTGAGTCATTGAGGGTGTCGGATTGACTTGTACCGGGTTTAGGGTTTAGGGTTGCAGAAAAAAAGCTGCTCGTCATGTTCTTCTCAGAAACACCGTGTCTGTACGCAGCCAGGCCACTTTGCAACACTGCCATCATCGCGAAGCCGCTCTTCACACAAGTCGATGATGAAGTTGGGCGCTCCCTGCACATAGCATCGAGCATAGTTTGGGCTTCACGTGGTTTTTAGCAACCTTCGGACACTGCTATCATAGCTGGGTTTCTAGAGCTGTTGCTTCGGATGAAAGCCCCTCGGAGATTTGCGTCTGCTTGAAATCGAAATAGGTATATGCCATCGGAAATGACAGTAGCAAAGATATGCAGTTGAGCAGCCGTAGGTTTCAAGCTTGGGATTTGGGCCTCCCGGGATGTTGAAGTGAAGAGCTCAACAAGGAAAACAGCATCCGGGCGGCTCCCCGTGCTGCAAGCAGAGCATGTTGTTGCTGTTGTTGCTCTCAGATAGTGCGTTGCTGACGAAGCCGTGCAAGTGGCAACTTCCAACTTCCTTTCAACGTTCCTCAAAGGAGACACACGGCTCACTTGTTTAGATACTCTGTTGCTGTAGTCACCGTAGTCCTCCTTAAACAAGCCACAGTCTTGCGGATCCTCACTGGACTTCCACTCTTGGAACCCACTGCACCCAGGAGTAAGACACACAAGTGGATCGGCTCGATCTGGTATGCACGCATCTGGGGCCTTGCAAACGAGGAAGTGCTTGGTGCCTGCCGAGAGCAGGCTGCACGGCCAAGCGAAGTTGAAGTAGCCGCAGAAAGCAGGCACGCGAGGCGGCATGTCAAACAAGAGCTTTCGGACTCATCCGGGCATGCGCTTGTCCTGACACAGACTCTATCAGAAGTCTTGTTTCCAGACACCCCAAAACCGTGCTCAATATTGAACCTCAAGCCTGCTCGTAAGCTGACGCGGCTCTGAACCTAACTTAGCCCAGGCCTTGAGGCAAGGGCATGCCGCCCTCGCAAATGGCATGCCGGCCGCTGACAGAAGACACCGTGAGCATCATCTGTCCAGGTTTGGGGTGGAGGGCTTTCTTCGGCCCTAAGCACCCTGCCGATGCTGGACGCTACAAGCAATAAAATGCACATTGACGTAAGCCCTAATCTCCAGAAAGTCCCTGTATGAGTACCCCGAACCGCTTTAAACAGAGGAAGCGTTAAAACAACCCTCAACCGTGATTGAACACTCTTGTCGATCGAACCTTGCATCTCGACCCACACCTTGGAACGTTCAGCTTATCAGTCCTGCTATTCCTGTCACTCGTTTGTTCAAAGCGTTAAGCCAAGCATGATGGTGTGGATTGTCATGAGTGAGACAGTCTGGCAGGAAGGGCTGCGCTACACGCATCTGACTCTTACATGACTATCATGGTTGAGTGCTTGTCGCTAGTTCTTAGATCTGTTGCGGATACAACCAGCAATGTGACCGGTATCACCAATGCCATGGCCTTTCGCGACGAAGAGAAAGGAATCTCCAATTCTCTCGGATAGTCCGTGGCCCTCAGTCACACAACTCATGTAGGATAACGGCGTATGGACGACTTAAGCTTCAAGGGCATCATTGCTCCTATTGGGTATCGTAGTACCAACCCTGAACCCCAGTAAGCTTCTCCGACGATCACTAGCAGCACCCACCCTAAACCCTTTACCCTTTACCAGCACAATAATAATGTCAGCATCGCTAGTCCGTTCACGACACTACACGATGGCAAACATAGAATGCAGCCCCACGAGATGTATGCTTCGCGTGCAATCGCTACAGCACCAAAGACCCGCAGGAGGAGCAAGAAGAACAAGAGTAGCAGAGACTATTCGGAGCATGAGACAGAGGTTTTTGGCGGCATTGAAGCCGTGAAAGGCCAAATAGCTTCTGGAGCCCTGACAGCGTAAGCCTGGCGCGCTTTGAAAACACAAACCCCTGCCTGACGAAGCCCTACACCCGACGGCGCAAGGTTTCTGAAGGCTTGCCTAAGTACAGAAGCCCGAACCCGTGGCCTGAGCTTGAAGCCCCTCAAGTACCCATAGGCCCCATAGTTGCCATAGTAGTTCCTTTTGGGGATTACCTTATAGGATTCTAAATATGAGCCCCAAAAAGGAACCACTATGGGGCCTATGGATACTGCCTTTCAACTGCTTCTCTTTGCCTGCCCATAGCTCCGGTCTCCGAGATCCCGACGGGAAACCGTACGGTGATGGCACCAAACAGCTACCGCTATTGTGTATCTGATCTCGCTAAGCACCAAAGTTCTTGGCGAAAATACTAGGATGGGACGTTCCGAGAAATTTATATCGAAAAGGTAAGAGATGCGGAACCACCCTTCATGCTGAAGCCAGGATGATGCTGGGATGCCAAGCCATGCTCCCTTTGAGGGCCCGGCACATCTTCGGTGAAGCCGATTCTAGGGAACAAGGGAAAAGGATCCAGGTCCGGGAAACCCTGAATCCGAAATCCCTCAATGGCAAAGCCCTCGAGCCAGAAATCAACCCGCAACGCCCCGTCCGCAACTTCTGACCGCAATCCCTTGCCTGTAAAGCCCATTCCCAGCTCTAGGGTTCAGTGCCCCTGAAACCTACAACATCTACAAGCCGTCGGATTACATGGCTCCTCTCGAGGCGCGGAATGGTAAGTTGTAAAGCTTCAGGGAGAAGTTACTGATGCGGGGGTCCAGGAAGAGTCAGCAGTCTCAGCGGTTGTTGTGGTGGTGCTACTGCTGGTCGTACTGGTAGTAACTGGTAGTAGTAGATGTCATCGGTGGTGGTGGCACCACCAACAATGACGAGAACGAGAACGGCGACGGAGAACAAGGCCCAAGACAACCACCAAGCATAACAGCAACAACTTCCAGAATGAGGAGGACAACGATGAAAGCGGTTCTTTGCCCCTGACAGCAGCGAAATTCCAAACGAAGAAAGCGCTAACAGTAATCCGAACATCAGAACAGCTAGAATGGCGGTGCAGTTTTTTGTGGAATCCCGGTCCAGAACAGCATCACACATATTTTGATTTCAACTTTCGGCATCGGCACAGAGCCCTCGCCTGCACCCTAAAACAAGGAACCCGATGTAATTGTTCAGGCCCCAATAGACCCTCAACCCTAAAACCCCTAAGCCTAAACCCCTACACCCTAAACCCCTAAACACCTAAAACAACAAAAAAAAACAAAAACTCAAAAACAAACCCGAACCCCAAACAAACTTTAAAACCGATCAACCCCCCAAACCCCTAAACCCCTAAAACGCCAAAAACCACAAAAACCACCAAAAGAAAAAAAAAACTAAAACCCCTAAAACCACCTAACACCCCTAAACCCCTAAACCTCTAAACCCCTAAACCCCTAAACCCCTAAACCCGCAACCCCAAACCCTAAACCAAGGCCCTAAACCAAACCCTAAACCCTAAACCCTCAAAAAAACCCTAAAACCCCTAAACTCCCATAGCCCCCTAAGCCCCCTAAGCCCGCTAAGCCCCCTAAAGCCCCGAAACCCTAGACCCTCAACCCTAAACCCTAACCCCTCAAAAACCCCTCAGCCCTCAACTCCCATATGGAATTCCTTCCCTCCCCGAAACCCCTAAAACCCCTAAAACCCCTAAAACCCCTAAACCCCTAAACCCCTAAACCAGAAACCTTAAACCCTAAACCCTATACCCCCCCCCCAAAACCCCTAAAACCGCTAGTCATCACCGAGCGGCTTCCGTGCCGCCACGACAATCGGGGCCTCCGACGAGTTGCCCCTTGGCTCCCACTTCTCCTGCAAAGGCTTAGGGGTTTTAGGTTTATAGGGGCTTTTAGGGGCTTTTAGGGGTTTATAATTAGGGTTTAGGGGTTTAGGGCTTATAGGGTTTAGGGGCTTTTAGGGGTTTTAGGGTTTATAGGGTTTTGGGGTTTTGGGTTTTTGGGTTTAGGGTTTTAGGGTTTAGGGGCTTTTAGGGGTTTAGGGTTTGGGGGGTTTAGGTGTTTTAGGGTTTAAGGTTTGGGGTTTCGGGTTCGTGAGGGACTGCTTCCCTTGATGCGTGTCTTATGCTGTTTTGTTGAAGGGGGGCGGGGGGGGGGAGTTGCTGTTTCTCTGGGTGGCGGGAGAGGAGGTTGGGGGTCAAAGCTTCGAGCTTGGGCTTTCACATGTATGGCTACGGGTCGATTTGGGCTTCGAGCATTCCGGGTTCAATGGTAGAGTGATTAGAAATTCGAGTTCAGACGCATCCTGAACCCTAAACCCTAAACCCCTTAAACCGTGAACCCCTACACCCTAAACCCTAAACCCTGAACCCCTAAACCCTAAACCCCTAAGCCCTAGACCCTTGTGTCGTTCAGGCTTTCAAGTCTTTGGGTTCAAGTCGGAGTTTGGGGTTCAGGCGGTCGCGCTTAGGGCTGACATAATGTAGGGGCCTTTAACAATTAGAATAGGGTTTTGGGGCCCACTATACTATCATTGTCATAAGGAACCACCAAAATAATGTAGGTAATTTTTTTAGGCCCCTATATTAACCATTTTGGGCTTAAGGTTCGAGTCAGGCTTGCTAGGAGAAAGCATCACAAAGGGGTGGAGGAACTGCACAATCTGTGTTTACGAACATCCCTCCCAGCTCTTACTGCCATCTTGAGGTGAACTTCTCCGCTAGAGGCTCGGTGTCCTTTATCGAACATCGAAACGTATCAGCAACTCTGTGCCAGCATGAGTGGAAAGATTGAAGCCCAACTGCGCCCACAGCCAGCTGTGGACTCTCGGCCTTGTATTTAACGAGTGTGCACTCACCTACCTCCAGGGCCCCTTTTTCTCGTAAGCTTATATGCATTTTTGCTTGGGACCGCAAACCCCAGCTGCGAGACCAACGACTACTCCATCGCACCTCGCCAGTGTCCGCGTCCTTGACCTGAGATATCTTTGACCACCCTAGCAGTGTTCTAAATCTTTGTGACAATCGATCTTACTGTGGGTCTGGAGGTTCGTACCACTGTTGCAGCTGCTAGCTTCCGGTGTGCAGTGGACGCAAGTCTTCCTGAAGAGCTGGAAGTTCGAACCACTGAAAAGCCACACTTGGCGATCGTAGGGTCTGAGCAGCCGTTCGGACGAGATGCGCCGACTCCAGTGACTCTAGTTTGGAGCAACTCTGTACCGTAAGGCTCTTGACATTCGTACTGAATGACATGAGGCAAGCCTTCTCAAGAATGGTGTCCTTTGCAATACTTTGCAGACAATACCGTCACTCATGTTAGGCAAACTTACAAACGGACGGTTCAACCCAGCAATATTTACCAACTGCCATTTTGACTTCCATCACGCCGTCATCATGTGCTGGCTCAATACCACTGAATGCCCAACCCCTGGGCCTCAAACCCTAAACCCTGTCCCTAAGCCCGGAACCCGAAACCTGAAGCCCTCCCCCCCCCAATCTCCGAACTTCAGAGGTCTTCTTTGCTTGGAGGTTCCTGGGTGGTTATAAGTGGTGTTATAAGTCCCCCAATATGGGTTATAGCTACAGTTATCCTACTTATAACCCTGCTTCTAACTTGGGGGATAGGGTTTAGGGCTTACCTTAAGAACCCAAAACCTACTTTTTTGTAGGTTCTTATTATAAACCCAAATATGAGATTTATAGGGACCCTACAAAAAGGCTGTTTTGGGTTCTTAAGGTAGGGTTTATGCATCTGTTCAGCTTCCGGTTCGGGGTCATGCCGGCCTTGTCCAGCGTAGTATTGCAGCACAACAGTCCAGAGAGCCTTGGTCTCTTAGGGCTCAGAGAACCCTAAACCCTAAACCCTAAACCCTAAACCCTAAACACTAAACCCTATACCCTAAACCCTAGAGACCGAGGGTCCGAGGGGTTTAGGGGCTTTGGGGTTTGTGGCATTAGGGGCTTGGGTTTAGGGTTTAGGGCTTCAGGCTCAGGGTTTAGGGTTCAGGGTTTAGGAGGGCTTATAAGGATTAGGACGGCTGAGGTCGAGTGTTTCGGATTTTGGGGTTGAGGGGTTTGGGTTTGGATTTCAGCGCAGTAGGGTGCCGGTTGGAGGTGTAGGCTCGACAACCTGAGAATTCGTGAGCCCCAAGCACCTACAGATTCCGAGCCATGAACAACAAGCAGCCCGAGCCCCAAAGCCTCAAATGGCCCAAGCCTAAACTCTGAACCACCACCCCTCCCCCGAAACCTCCAATGATAAATACTCGCAAGTTGCTCAAACTCTGAGCATACTTTCTTGGCTGACCTGACCGGAGTTCGCTGATCCTAGGGTGGTGTCAAACCTTGACAAAGCCCGAGCTTGAATCCTAAACCTCTTTGGCTGTAGAGGGCGAGGGGTTGCGGAAGCTGAAGCCCTGAATGCTACTTCCTGCCCGGAGCCTCATGCCCATTGCTGCGCCACTGGTACAATGTCACAATGTAGGCTTATGATCTTGGTATGTCAGGCAGCAGAGTCGTCTTCACCCCAAGGTGGAGTGCGGCATCTTCGCCTGAACTTCAGGGCAGGTAGGCGTCGAGGTCTTTTTTTCGACCCTGAACTCCTCCCAGGACAAGGCCACACACTAAACTCTGAACCCTGGATTGAGAAGCGTATGGTTTACCTTAAAGCGGAATCCCAGTTCAGGATCTACTGGCATTCGGCTGCAAACTGCAAAGCCTAAGACACTGAACCCCAGTACCTACCCCAACTAACAGGTCCCCCAGAGCTGACTTCTGCCAATACACACCCGCAACTTTTTCGCCTGGGCTCGGGCCCTTAGACTAGGTCCGAAGCCCAAAAGCCTTCCAAAATACTGCACCACAGTCTGAGTTGCATTCCTACCACTATTGGTTGAGTTGGAAGTAGTAGTAGTCACTCGTCGTCATAGTCGCCATAGTAGTCATAGTAGACGTATGGTTCGAAAAGGAGTAGAAGCAGCAGCAGCAGCAGCAGCAGCAGTAGTAGTGGGAGTAGCCGCTGCAAGCAGCAGTTACGGTTATTGGTTGTTTTTGCGGTTGTGTTGTTGTTGTTGCTGCACCCCATCAAGCTCGCCTCAACTACAAATTCGTGCCAGGGCTTTCAAGTAGGGTGTTCCGAGTTTCAGGTTTGCCTACTTTCAGAATTGCCATCGGCTATATGGCCCCGCTAAGTCAAGTATCCTCAGTCTGGCTAAACATGACAAGGCTGCCGTGCGATCTAAGAGTAGGGGCTTCCGACAAAGGACCCCGAGTCAAGAGCAGACCGTAAAAGCGGGATACATGCTGCAAGCCGCCCTAAGAGAGAGACACCCTGTAAGAGCTAATGAAGAATGACTGGAAGTGACAATAAGCAGCAACAATACAGAAACTCTGCGGAACACCGGCAAACTGTGCCAGCTGGCCTGTGTGCCCTCTGCAAACACGAACCCACAACGGGCTGAAGAAGAACCGCAGGAAATCAAGCAGTGTGCCTCCAACCTAAGCGGTTAACAACAACCAGGGAGAAGGAATAATGATTCAGGCGCCAGCATGAAGAGAATCAGGAAAATATTCGGGCTTCTAGATTAAGCCCTCAACCCGCAAAGCTGTTTCAGTGGCCTCCCGGTGCCGTGATCTTTCCAACCGTCGGGTCGAAACCCTTGCCGCCAACGTCGTAGGTGACATCGCCGGACCACATACTCACCTCGGCTGTGGCTGTGATGCTGCACAGGAGATCTAGAACTTGCTTCTCACAGCCTCTGCTCTATCCGCGAGATGATGTCGCGTTTAAGACTCGGGCCAGACACTCCCGATAAGTTTCCACTTAGTCAGCTACGACATCAAGCCGACCGCTTAGATCACTCTGTGCAGCATTTCCCGAGCAAAGGGGAGACTGTCGGGAAAGTGACGGTTAGGGCCGCACACCCGGCATCCATCACAACATCACATGCTCCGAAGCAAAGTCCAAAGCGCTTCAAACAGCCCGAGATTTGACGTGGGCTCACCCAGAGTGAGAGAACCCCCAATCCCGAGCCTTGGACTGCAAATATCAAGTTCCGCAGCTCAGCTGGTTTAGGGTTTAGGGTTTAGGGTTTTAGGGTTTAGGGTTTAGGGTCTACGTTAGCTTGAAATGGGCATCCTGTCACCTCGTGGTCTTGAAGACTTCTTGCGTGCATTCAAGGGTTTAGGGTTTGGGGTTTAGGGTTTAGGGTTTTAGGGTTTAGGGTTTCGGGTTCAGGGTTTAGGGTTTAAGGTTTCAAGAGCATGCTTGTGATTTGTCCCCACACTGTTCCTCACGACCCAACAGCTTAGAAGCTCAAAATAGGGGTCTTAATAATTAGAATAGGGTTTTGGGGCCCATACTACTATAATTATTTATGATGAGGAACCCCCAAAAATAGTATGGGTAATCATTTAGGCCCCTGCAATAGAAGTTTAGGGTTCAGGGATGTCCGAAAGCCGCAAAGCTCTAAAATCCTGAGGGATCTCCCCGGCAAGGCCGAGCGTCCATGGTCATCTTACCTCGGTGCGTCTTCGGATTTTCAGGGGGCTCAGGGGTTTAGGGTTTAGGATTATCGGATTTTCAGGAGCTTGGTGCTTTGGGTCGTGATTTTGGGTTTAGAGTTTTCAGGAGCTTGGTGCTTTGGGTCGTGATTTAGGGTTTAGGGTTTAGGGTCGTGATCCTGACTACGACTCTACGAGCTCCGGGGTCAGCCTGACCCCTATCACAGTAGAAGCTTCTGCTGAAGGAAGCCCAAAGCCCACCCCCTGCCTTCGCAAAACCCAAAAAAAACAGTTTTGGCGCCACTAGGCTCTACACTTTTTTCGTCTACACTTTTTTCGCCGTGGACCCTAGGCCCAAAACCTTAGAAGCCCTACTTGGAGGTTCATGGGTAGTCATAAGTGGAGTTATATAAGTCCCCAAATATAGGTTGTAACCTACTATAACCCTACTTATAACTACCCATGAACCTCCAAGTATACCCCAAACCCGAGATCCCAAGAAGCCCTGAGCGTTAGAAGTCCCAGGAGACCCCGACCAAACGTCCAAAGGGCCGTTGTAGAAACCCCTGCCCTACACCCTAAACCCTCAATCCTAAACCCCAAACCCCTAAATCCTAAACCCTAAACCCAAAGCCCTACACCCTAAAGCCTAAACCCTAAAACCTAAACCCTAAACCCCCTAAATCCTAAAACCCTAAATGCCAAAGCCCTACACCCTAAAGCCTAAACTGCCCAAGGGGCCCTCGGTGAGGGTTCCGGTCTTGTCGCTGCAGATCACCGAGGCCGAACCAAGTGTCTCCACCGCGGCGAGCTTGCCTTAGAAACGAGCCCAAAGAAGGACTTGGGGGTTTAGGGTTTTAGGGTTTAGGGTTTAGGGTATAGGGTTTAGGGCTTAGGGCTTAGGGTTTAGAGCTTAAGATTTAGAGTTTCCTTTACAGTGCAATGCACCTTCCTCGGCATGCTGGATCCAAAGCCAGCGTTTAGGGCTTGGGATTGAATGCTTATAATGGTTTAAGGCGTAGGGTTTAATCGACATTAGCGTTTAGGGCCTAAAGTTTAGGGTATGGGATTTAGTCGAGGGTTCGGGGTTTTAGGAATATAAGGTGTACTGTTTAGGGTTAGGATTTAGGGCTTGGGGGTTGGGCTCAGGATATAAGGTTCAGGGCTTGGTACTTCTCATGTACGGCTTAAGATGCAAGGTTGGGCTTAGGGCTTAGGCTTTTAGGTTTAGAGTGTAGGGTTTAAGCTTTAGGTATAAGGCGTGTGGTTTAGGATGTAGGAGTTAGGGTTCAGAGAGTCATAACATAGACTATTCCTGCTAGGTTCATGCTTGACCATACTAGTAGTAACAGAAAACATGGAAACATGGAAATAATCGGTGCAATTACCATCAGAACCATAATCTGGTTTGAGGGCTTAGGCTTTCGGATGCAAAACTATGAAGCAGCCCAAGTCACGGACCAAGACGTGCTGCTTGACCATGTCGCTGCAGCCGATGGACAGAGAGATAGTGACGCACAGCGGGATGCCCTGGCGACCACTGCAAGCCGGCTTTATCACACAGCCTCCACAGCAGATAGGTGCTTGCGTTCCCCGAGGATGTAGCACAAAGAAGCTGTTTTGCTAGTGGATATCGTTACAACGAGACGTGCTCAGGAAGGCTGATGGGCTATTGCAGTCTTGGAGATGAGTAAGCTCATGCTTGATGCCCAACATCATGTCGTACAAGGCTTGCTCATTTCTGCTGTTGCTGGACTGGTAGTGATGTCGAGGTCCTGATGATGATGATGATGGTGGTGATGATGGGGCTGGTGATGGTGACGGTGGTGGTGATGGCAGCATTGATGGGGATACACTTGTTGATAGATTTGGGGGCGGTGATCGTGACGGTGATGACGACGGTGATGATGGAGCGGTGGCCATGTCTGTGAATATAATGCCAATGAATACTGCTTGCAATCGCTGCTGTCTGCACTGTGACCTTCATTATTGCTTGTGTTGCTGCTGCATGCTCACCAGTAATTGAGCACTGCTGACTTAGTACCAGTAGCAGAAGCAGCAGCAGCCGCCGTTGCTGTTGCTGGTGCTGTCGCTGCTGCTCTTGCTGTTGCTGCTGTTGTTGTTG